GTCCCCACAGTGGCCCCTGTGGTGGGGTGCGCTGACCCTGGAGCCCGCGGAGGCAGCCCAGCTGGGCCGCGGCTGCTGAGCACTTCACCCGCAGCCAGCAAAGCAACAGAAGACCCTTCCCATCTCAAAGATACATTCGACCTCAGATTTTAATTCAATTCCCACTACTTTCTTCACCTATGAAAATGTGGTTACTGGGAAAAGAAGCATAAATGAATTGTTTGCATATTTTGCTATATAAGTAAATATTAATTCATGTTTGTAAAATAATGTAAAGGGTAAAACTATATGAACATGCATTCACATTATGTATGGGAGACATCTTGTCAGAAGTCTATGTGGCCATCTGATGTTTACATTATACACAGTGTGCTCTTAATGGCTAATAAAAAGCTATACGAAACATAAGATTTAACCTCTGTGCACAGAAATTAAAGATGAATTTTCGAAAGTAAACCAATCTAATGAAAAACTGTTATTATACCTTCTATAATTGCCTTTTCTTCTTTTTTTTTTTTAAATTGAATTTTGTGAGTGTCTATTGGAGTCTTTGAGGTATGCTTTAAGGTAAGAGGTTTATTGCCCTGTTAGAAAAGCAGCCCTGTAAAGTGCCTGATGTAAGGTTTTATTTATGGGGCTGAGTGGAATCAACATCATGTTGCCAAATGAAAGCAATATGAAGTTTAATTCAATTTCCTTATTCAACAACTTTATTTTAAAGGCTATATATAAATAATATATATATACTATCCATACAGTAGGAACTGAGCTCCTGTGTATCAGAGATGAAGGAAATCCAAGGCAAGTGAGAGCTGAGATGTCGAGCCTGCCCTTGTCATAAACAAACCCCCCTCCTGCAGGCTGGGCAGAGGCTGCAGTGGTTTCCTCTCCCCCTGCCATTCAGGGCGTGGGAGGCCAGAGCAATGACCACAGACTCGGGAGCCAGAAATATATCTGGGTTCATTCAAACCCCATTTTATGGTTAATTATTATTCACAAATGCGTAATCTAATAGGTCCTAAGACTCTGCTTTCTTATGTGAATTTGTCACCGTTATAGCAAAGAAGTAGTGCACGCAACTAAAACCCTTCATATTTCACTATCATACATTTATTGGGTTGTTTATATCAAGTTAATCTGTCCCATGACCCAAACTCTCAGCAAAACTTCATACAAACCTGAATGCAAACTTTTGTAAGACTACATACTGTTGTTTTGAAAATGTGTTCTTTAATTTTCTAACTTATCTTTTATCAATTGAACTATGAATATTATAATACTTTATAACCTCCCTAATAAAGAAAGAGCAAAAATCAATTAAAGAAAAGCAAATAAAAATACTTCAAAGGAAGGAAAGTATTTTTCACATTATTAGTCCTACATTCAAATAAGCACACGCTACTCACTGTGCAGTTCTGTGAAGTCCCTGTTTACAGCCCTGATTATAACCATACCTACAGGCTCAGCTTTCAAAAGGAAAATGTCGATCCCACTGAGCACTTCTGAAAGAAGCTTCGTAAATGGCTTCATCTACCTAACCTAAAAACAGATCATGGGAAACTGAATTAAAGGGTGTAAGAAATATTTTTGAACTTTTCCTTTACACCAAAGTACCAAATTGTGGCACTCTGATTGGAAAAAGTACACCAGCTATATTTAATCTTTCATTTAAAAAGAAAAAAAGAAGACATTGGCACAGAAATAAAGCAGTTGCAGAGACTTGTAAATTTCCAGACTTTTAAAATTTCACCAAAACTTTTCTCTCCATACTCTAGAATTTCTTTCAAATATTAACCTAGGGGCTAAGGGAGATTATTCAATGAATCCACTTACAAGTTGAGGCATAAGTTACATGCTGAGGTAACTAGTGTTATGATTCCTTTACATTTTTCTGAATAGAAGCAAAACCTAATGTGGGATCTCTTAGATTTATGACTCTATTTTCATCTCATTCTTTTTTCATAGTGAGAAACACCAAAAACACTGATTGACTTGAACCATAGCCTTATTTTTCTACAGATTGTGTCACATAACCTGAGTGATGTCATGTGCTAGCTGGAAAATATTACCTTTAGGGTCCCTTCCTGCTTTGTGACCCCTGGGTTTTACTCTGGATGATCTGTGGATGATGGGTCAGAGTTCAAATCACCTGGCAGGGGGAGGGGACTCTGGAGGACTCAAGGAGGAACTGCGGAGGAGACCGGCAGCAGGCCCTCTGGGTGGGCTCCGCGGCTTGGTGGCTGAGGCGAGAAAGGGCAGCAAGACACAGTGGTGTGCAGCCCCGAGTCCGAGTGTAAAAGGGTCAGAGTCGCTTTCTGGCCCTGGGAAGTACAGGGACAGGACACGCTCTTCTCAGCCACCCAGACGCGCTGCTCTGCTCTCGCCGGTCCGGAGACACAGTGAAAACTGCCATTCAGACCTTCCATTTCAGAGTCTCTGACAACAGGACACAGGGAAAGCAGCCACTGAAGCCATGCGATGTGGGTCTTCCCCGAGGAAGGAACCTTGAGCTGCCAGCTTTGCAGGAGCTTTGCTTAGCCTCCCCAGAGCACACGGGGTGCCACCCGCCTGACTGTCTGAAGGCAAAGCTTGACCTCGCCTGATCCCTGGGTATTCAGGGCCTCCGGCAGAGGAGACGCAAGATTCTGGCCAGGTAAAAACCCATGACACACGGTCTCTGTGCTGCTCGGGAGCTTCTGGAGAAGACGCAGCAGGAGCAGGACAGGGGGCCCTGGCCGCCACTCTGTCGGGGAGAATTCACCCTGAAACTTCCCTGCACTGCGCTGCTCTCACTGCACTGGAGGCAGGCGCTGGTACAGAGTGAGCACAGAACAGGAGACCACGTCCTGCAACAGGACTTTGGGGGGCTCCACTAGCTGGTGATATTTTCGCTCTCCCAGTGCAAAAACCAGTTACCTCTATGGAAAGTTGAGCCGGATTCTACCATTCTCTGTAGTGACCCGTCACGGTGAAATCAATAGGGAAAAGCTGACAGTGCATGGCCTCGAGGTGTGAGCAGGGCTGCCACGTGCCTGTGCCTGCAGTGTCCACCGTCTGCATGGAGACCTTGACTGCGTCGCCCCCTCAGGCCGGGCAATCGTCATTTCCAGTGTGGCACCCACAATGTGATGAATCGGCACCAGTACAAGGTAAACACAGGCCTAGCAGGGGCTCAAACTGAGGAAGGCCAACGTGTGAGACTATGCCCGTAGCTTGTCACTCTTCTGGGGAGAAAAATGGTCTAGAAAGTCAGACGCTAGAAGCGTGTAGCTTAGGATCCTGCAATGTCCTTAGGATCCCTCAGTTGAAAAAAATCACAACACTCCAAATGGTTTTAGTTGCAAGTTTTTATTTTTTTATTTTTAATTTAAATTTCTGGGCATCACCACTTTTTCCTTACTATAATAAGACAGGAGCTGGGTGTAATTACAGATGAAACATCTGTGAAGTGCTGCGGGAGCCACAAAATGCATGCATATTTTGCAGCACTCTTTCATTTTTCAAAAGCTCTCATTTTCCTTGACCTGCCATGGTAAGGGAAAAACAAAGTAACTTCCTCTCTTCCGCAGTGGATTTCCACAGCCAACCGCAAGAGGGAAAGGATTCAGTATGCTGGTTACCCTCGTGTAACTGCTTCCCAGGGCTCAGGACTGCGGAGACGCCACATCTGACAGACCGGCACATTTATTCGTTGTTTAGGCGAATGCTGCCTGCGTGCAGTTTTCTTGCAAACTGGAGCTACTTTTCTTAAAAAATGCAGTTTTAACTTGCAGTCTGATTTCTTCCAATGTTCTCTAGGCCATCTTTATGCAAATGCTGCGTTTCTCAGGATGCTGGCCCTTAGCATGTGTCGGGTTTGATACCAGAGATTAGAGAATGGGGACTTAGCGGAGGAGGACGCCGCCCGAGGCCGAGGCAGCTCTTCGTAGATGTCCACACAGCACGGACCTCGGCATCCTGCCTCCAACACCGCGGGACGCGACAAGTCCAGCGCTGTCTGGCAATGTGGAAAAGTAGCTCAGTACCAGAGTTTCTTTTCAATACACTCATGGGTAGAATAGGTTTATAAAACTATCACAGGATGCGAAGCAGTCAGCTGAGTGATTTGAGAGCAGGAAATGGACCCCTGCTAGCCAGGAAGCAGTAAAACCTGCTCGACAGGACAGAAGGCAAGTGCTGAGGAATGGAAGAAATCACGAAATGATGGAGGGCTTTTAAAAATGCATGTGTTTTGCATTGGCATCTCTACTGTCAAGTACAGAATCTGTTCAACGTTTCGTTGAAGAACTGAAAATGAATATATAAACTAACAAGAAAGTTTGAAGGATAAGTAAGTAAATAAGATTTAGAAATTATGTACTGTGAGTATGTGACAAAGCATTTAAAAACTTCAGCAAGATGAGAGTCTTGGCTTGGTAAGTGAATTCGGTGGTCAGAGTGAGACAGGAAAACGAGCATGTGATGATGGTTCTCTCCTGGGCTTTATAGTCCCAGGAGAGGGAGGCCTTTTACAGCAGAGAAGGAAATACAGAGGAGAAAAGTCAAGGAAATGTGCATCAGTAGTGGGGTCTTCTAAGCTGAGGACTTTATTTGAGAACCTTAGTGTTAGTCTGTATATAAAATCAATACTGCTGCCCATGGTCACCACAGGATTTCCTTTTATAAGTGGAGGAAATTCAGGGTTGGAGAATATCAAGAAGAAAAGTGGATTCACAATAAATCATTTAATTCTTGCAAAAGGAAGCTGTGTGGCTTAGTAAAACAATAACTTACTGAGGGCTTGCTGTATGCTGGGCGTGTGTGGCTAAACATCCAGGCCACAATGCAGGCAGAGCTGTCCCGCCAGGCCAGAGCTCACAGGAAGGACCAGGCCAGCGGGCTCTGGTGCCCACCACTGGCAGACACTGCAGTCTGCTCAGCTGCTCTTACAGCCACTGCCCAATACTGCTCTGACCTCAGCTTGCTACAGGTTACTATTTTCTTAAGAAAAAGTCGCCTTTCCGAGGTCTTAAAATAATTAAATATGAGTGGTAATAAAGAGAGAGCCAAAGGAAAAGTCACACAAGTACCTTGAACAGTTTGAAAAGAACTGATGTACTTTCTCTGGTGTCGTTAATGTAGTGGTGCCAGCCTCAGACTGCTTCTGCGCTTAGCCTGGGCTTCTCCCTGTGATCTGTGAACCTGCCTGGGTCCAGGGTTACTCTGTCTCAGCTTGATAGAAAACAACCAAAGAGGAGCATCGCACAGCTTTCAGGAAAGTGATCTCTAAGGTGAGAAGCCATAAGCCAGGTTTGAAGGAAGGGGTGCTCCATCTACCACAAACAGCCCTGGGGCATCTGACCTTTGTCCTCCTGTCAAATCCACAGTGCACGAGGTCGTTTTGTTAGAGTTCTTCCAAGCTGAGTTAGATATTTGCAATGCAAGTATTTTCAATAAAATTAAATTTCTTCCTTTTTGTGGTTGACAGGCACAACTATTTTTTCCTGCAGAATGAATGAAATACACCGATAATGCTCAATTTTAAATATAATGATTCTTTCATTTTAATAGAAAATCACAGTTTGTGAATGATACATTTTCCCCAACCCTAATGTCTCTTGTTTTCTTGACATGAAGTTATTCAGGACTTCTAGTACATTAATCAAGGTTGGTGGCATTTATATTGTTGAGCTTATGTACTTGCATTCATGCACACACGTGGGTACACAGACTAGCAATACTTCATAGTGCACATAGATGTGTTGTTGTTCCCACTATGTACCCAAACATTTATCACATACTGCAAAATACTTTTCTATAATAGGCCCTGTATTACATATTTTATGCATATTGCCTTACTGTTATGAGATTTTTAAACGCAATTTTCATTTTGACTGTTTCTTCCATGGTGTCCTTAGTTTGTCCAAGAAATGTTTTCGTATCTTGAAATTGAGAAGATATTCTCCTATAGTCTTCTGTCAAAGCTTTATAGATGTGTTTTCCATGTTTTGCTCTGGAATCCGTCTGTGGCTAACTTTTACCTGCTGTTAGGAAGTGCTCTACCTAATGTTTTTCCATGAATGCACCCGCTTTTTCCAGAACACCTAGCAAGGCCCTGGTGTTTCTCCTTGCTGCTCTGCTATGCGGTCTCTGTGGCCAACCAAGCGTCGATGTGTTGTCTCACGTCGGGCTCTGTCCAGCGAGCCCTTGTCTACGCCTGTGTCTCAGAGAGTTTTGCCTGTTTTATCTTCCAGCACAATCAGTGTCTTTCATTTTGTGTCTAGGTCTTTGACACACCTTGAAGTGGTTTCTATTATTCTGTATTATTCCACTATTTTGTGATTGCTCCATTTCTGGGATAGAGTCAACAGAAAGCTTAAGTTATGCTTTTTATATGCAGATACCTCCTAGCTATTTCCTTTGCTTGTAGACTTAGAGTTTGACTATGTTCTGTGTCATTTTTTACATACATATATATATAAATTTAGCTGAGTGAAAGTTGAAATATCGACTGTGTGGATTAGCCTAATTTATTTTTGATACTATATTTTCAAAAGTACACATTGGCTTCTCTTATTTTCTTTAAATTTGACTCATGTATAACTGACCTCATTAAATCTCCCTTGTATCTTAATCTCTTTTCATCATTGTGCACCTTTAGTGGCTTTGTATTAATTTTGGGTAAATTATTCTGACCTATCTATGACATCCTCATCATTGTCCTCGCACACGATGGGAGTAGATCTGGATCTTGTTGCTAAGAGATATGTAAGGACCATATGTAAGGCCCTGTAAGGACCGTTCATACCTTTATCCCATTTTTATTGTCTTGAAATAATGATGTCTTTTGTCGACGGAGGAATCCTTACCACAAAGCTCCCTTTTTGAAGATATGGTGAGTGGATCTGCCCCTCAAATACAATATGTTATTAACTGCAAATATGATACAAATGAATGCCCAGCTTTAAATTTTGATATATTAATGAGAAAATTGGAAATAGTATATAAAATCTTAATAATGATAAACTGAATGATTCACATTTTATAGTATGTTTTGGAGACAATGTAAAATATAAATTATTATGAATATCATATGTAAGAGGACTTAATTTCCCTCTCAAGATATCTTCCATGCTCTTCGATTTTAATGCTTTATTCTTTTCCTTCTGTGATTGGCTTTGTATTTTTAAAATTGAGACATTTAAAAAATAATGTACATCTTCACTCAATTACAGGGATTGTCACTTTTTGTCATAAATAATCACTCAACTAATTCTATTCTAGGTATTAGAAAGTGTAGATGGCTTAATAAGATTTATTTTTGAAATATTGTGTCATGAATAAACACCTAAATTTGGATTTTATTTTAAATTAGAATTCTTTGCCTCTTCCTGAACTTATTTACTCTTCTTTATAATAGTTCCCTCATGTAAAATTGTAATTTCTGTATTGAGATACACCCGTTTTAATTAATAATTGTTTTTATGTGAAATGGTCATGTCTGTTTGACTTGAGAGCAGTTCGGTCCTTCAGATAATTTGTGTGTCATGAACGTAGGAGTAGCTGAGGATTCTGCTCCAGATGTATTCAGTCAGCAGAGCTGTGAGGGACCAGGAGTCCTGCCAGGGGCCGTGACGGCCCTCTGGGTCACGCCTCACAGGTGAGCGCCCCAAGACCCCTGTCCCCCTTATGGGGTGGACGCAGGTGCCTTCTTCCTCCCTCTCGGGGCAGTGCCAAGTGGGACTAATGTGTGTGCCAGAGGAGGGTGAGCTGAAAGCCGCAGGCGTGGAACGTGTTGCGCCTGATTTGCCCATCTCTCAAATCTCAGGGTTCTTCACAGTCAGCTTCGGGAAATCAAGCTCAGCAGCGAGCTGAGTGCCATTCAGAAACACACAGAGCACGGGCCTAGCAGACCCTGGGTCCACCAGGCGCTCCACCGTTGGGAACAGGAAGGGTGAAGACCCAAAGTCTACCGAAAGGCTCGTGAAGGTAAGAAACACTGGAATTCTGTAAATCTGCAGTTCTGTGGTATTTCGGGGACGAATCACTCCAAATGTACTCCATTCTCCCAGCTGCAGCTACAGAAAAAGACACTGAAGTATCTTCAGTGCTTAAAGGAGTGAGTGCTGTGGTACCAGGGAGAGCCATTCCTCCTTCGGCTTGCAAGGGAGTAATGTTTGTAAATGTTTACGTAAAACCTGTATCACTTTCAACATCGTTTTCTTCTTCTGTGTTTAACTTTTCACATTTCATTCAGACACACGCCACTGAGGTCCAGGCTGCCTTTCATAAAACTCCCCAGGGAAGAAGCTGACAGCCCCAGCAGGCCGCTTTCTACCACCCCAGGCTCTCCTGGCGTTTCTCTGTGCACAGTTTTGTGTGGAGCTTAGGATAGATGACGTATGGGGCTGCTTCCCATCACTTTTAATGTTTTTTTTGAAATTTCAAAGCCTTTGGTTTTTCGGTGAGTGGCCTAATAGAATGACATGCCTAGATATATGTGCAAAGAGTGATTTCATGACAAGAGAATATTTTAAGTTTTATTGGCTCTCGTCCCATTTCATTAGAATGTCATTCTACTACACATTAAAAGAATTACATGAATGCTGGAGAAATAGCAAACCCAGTTTTCATGTTGTCAGTTGCCATGGTGGCCCAATATAGTGACCCACATATCTAGAGATATGAATGACATGGAGACCTTTCCTCTGCACCACCCTGTATAGGTAACAAAGCTTTTCTTTAACCCTACCATCTTTTCACGCGAGGCTAGAGTGCTGGATGCTGAGTTTAGAGGAAATCGATGAACTGGCTGATGTGGGCATCAAAAACATGGTGACACACACTTGGATGATTTACTGGATATTCAATTATACAGTTAAGTCTGTGAACAAATTCTGGAATGATCTCAAAATAAAACACGTTTACCTCTAGAAAACTGTTGAATTGTGTACGCTAAAGAACAGCTTGCCTTCTTAGGTCACCTTTGGTGGAAGTGGGATGCCTTGGTCCCTGGGAGGCTCTGGGAACATTAGGCTCCAGCAGTCCCCCAAGGCTCCGGTGTGGAAGGTGAGGTCCCAGAGGATGGGCTGATGTGAGGAGTGGACGCAGGAGGAAAAAACTGTCACTGGGGACCTGCCAGGGAAGAGGCTGAATCTCTCCCTCTCCCCCTCCCCTCCC